AAAAAAATGCATTTAAAAAAATGTGTCACATGGATACATGTTTAACACATGACATGACACAAAAACACTTTTAACACATTTTTACATTTATTTTAATTTAGTATAAATACATAAAAATTATTTTAATTTTTAATCTTTTAATTATGATAACTAATTAGCTATTCAACATACCATATGAAGATTATTTAAACATTTAATTATGATACTTATTTAATAATTATTATAAAATTATTTTTATATTAATAATATAAATAAAATATAAATAATAATATTAGTACTATACATCATTATTTTATTTTTTAATCTTTTGTAGCCATTATTTTGGATTTGGTATTAAAAATTAATATAGTTATATATACATTAATACATATATATATATATACATTGGTTGAACCTTCTTATTATAGTAGTTCAAGACTTTCTGCTGAACTATTCTTGTCAAAGCTGCATCATTTTACTCTTAGGTTAGGTCTAGGTTGACTCTTAAAACTTTTTCGTTTCTTTTGTCATTGCTTAGTTTAACACAGAAGCTCGGTAAGCTTATCTCAACCGGTACCATGATCTTTATTCTAAAGGCTACATAGGACCTCGATTCTAGTTCTTAATGCCCATAATACTCCAAAAAGTTCTTCAACTCACTTTCTCTTAGCATCATCTAATCTCTTCTTCAGAGTTTTACGTATAGTTTTGTTAACTACCTAGGCCTGGCCATTAAATTGTGGGTTAGCAACCAAGTTGAATCTCAGGTTAATACTGAAGTTGAAACACCATTCTTTCAACTTTGGATTAGCATATTGCTTTTTGTTGTCTATTACTATAGATCGAGATAATCAATAGCTACAAGTACAAACTTTCTTTGCCTAGGGAACGGGTGGATGGTCCGAGCAAATCCATCCCTCATTCCATGAAGGGCCATGAGCATATTATTAGAGTCAACTCAGCTGAGGGCAAGTGTTAGATATAGGCAAACTTTGAACATTTATCACATCTTCAAACCTAGTCAGCTGCATCCTTCCTAATGGTCGACCGATAATGTTCTTGCCTTAACACTAGACCTGACAATTTTAGACACAATACGAAAATAATACGAAAAAAGTTGTTTATGTGTTTTAAAAAGATGTGTTTTGTATTTATTTATGTTAACACAAATTTCGACATAATACAATTCATGTCTTATATGTGTTGACACGTCAAAACACATGTAAAACATAAAAAAGTATATTTAAATAAAATGTGTCACATGGATACACGTTTAACACGTGACACGATACAAAAACGCATTTACCACATTTTTATATTTATTTTAATTTAGTTTAAATTATAACAATTATTTTAATTTTTAATTATGATACCTAATTAGTTATTCAATATACCATATGAAGATTATTTTAAACATTTAATTATGATATTAATTTAATAATTATTATTAAACTATTTTTTATATTATTAATATAAATAAAATATAAATAATAATATTAGTACGATACATCATTATTTTATTCTTTAATCTTTAGTAGTTCATTATTTTGGATTTGGTATTAAAAATTAATATAGTTATGTATACATTTACAATTGTTATATTAGTAATGTGGATATTAAAATTTAAATATATATGTTAAATGTATATTAAATGCGTACCAATTTTTTTATACTTTTCAATATGTAAGTATTTTTGTATTAGTAATACATATATACATATATATATTACATATATATAAATCTTAACATATTAAATATATTAAAAAATAACCTTGACTACGCCTATGTTGTAAATTTTTTAATTTTTTAATTTAATAATAAATTAAAAAATTAAATTATTTTTAGTATTTTGTTGGCTTTTTATTTTTTATTTTTGAAAAATATAATCTTTTGAAAAAAATAAAAAAACTAATACTCTAATCGTGTCACGCAAATGCAATTATATAGGTATTGATTTCTATTTTAAATAAGGAAGACTACTTTTTAAAAAATTGTATAGATTGAATTCAAATCCAATAGTACATACATAACAATCTAATCTACTAATACAATATTTATTTATTATCAATATTAATCAATTATCAAATTCAAATTCATTTACAAATGAAATCAAAGCCACCAATATCATCACCCATTTAACTTAATTTTTTAAAGATAAAAAGAACCAATAATTTTACTATGGTAGGTAAGGTATTATAGTAATTTAACCAATAATAATATGAAGGTATTTTCATAATTATGACAATAGGAGCATTTTAATAGCTTTGACCAATTATGATAGAAAGGTATTTCAGTACTTATAATAGGAGGAATATTATAATAATTTTATTTGATTATAGAATGAAGGGCATTATAGTCACTTTGGACACATGTCATTCAATTGTCAAGTAATTAGAAGGACATTATAGTCATTTCTAAGGGAATTAATTTCATATTATTATATATATGTTAAATTTTAATATGTAATTATAAAGTAATTACAGGGGTAATTTTGTAATTATAGTAAGAAGATATTATAGTAAATTTGATCATTATAATATTAGAAGTATTTATGTAATTATGGTGGAATGGGTATTATAATAATTTTGAAAAATTATGGTAGAAGGGGCATTTTCATAATTATGGTAGTAAGGGCAACAATAATTTTGACAACTTATGCTAGGAAGGTTATTATTATAATTTCAACTCATTTATGATAAAAAAAGATATTTTTGTCATTATGATAAAAAATATTATAATCATTTAAGATACGTGTCAGCTTTTAATCAAAGAACCATAGAAAGATTTTGATAATCTTAATGAGATTAATAATTTAATATATAATTAATTTTATATTATGTTAAAATTTAATATATGTAATTTAATAAGAATATTATATCAATTTTCAAATAGAACTCTACATGTCAAATTTCTATAAAACGATAATAAGAGCATTTTAGTAATTTAATATATGATTAATTTTATATTATATTAAAATTTAATACGTAAATTAAATAGGATATTATAGTAATTTTTAAATAAAATAGTACATATTAACTTCTTATGAAACAATAATAAGGATATTTTTATAATTACGATAAGAAGCATTATAGTTAATTTTAAACAATTTTGGTACGAAAGCATTTGTAATTATGATAAAAGGATATTATAATAATTTTGCTCAATCATGCTAGTAGAAATATTTTCATAATTATAATAAAAGGAATACTATAATAATTTTAGTTAATTATAAAATAAAAAATATTTTCGTAATTATGATACAATGGTATTATAGTAATTCGACATTTATAAGAGCGATATTTTCATTATTTAAGGCATAACAAGCATTATAGTGATTTGACATTTATAAGATAGTGATTTTATCATTAAAGAAGGAAAGGGTATTATAGTAGTTTACTATTCAAAAGAAGGGTATTTCTATCATTAGCACAGGAGGGCTATTTGTGGTCTTTTTGGACAAATTTCAAGCAATTAACATAAACTGGAAGGGCAAAACGAATATTTCATGAGAGATATATAGTATAGACATGCATAATCGCGAGGTAAAATTTTAGTATGTCAATTCCTTCCTTGTATACAGAAGAAATAAAGTTATGGCATCTGCAAATTTGTCTGAGCCTATACATCGCTTCTCGTTGCCTACGTTGTCATCTTCCTTGAATAAAAAAATCTCTCATTCTGTCCCTTCAAATCCAAAGCTTTCATATCAGAAACCCGAGAATAAGATTGTGTTAAAGATCCGTCTAAAACATCATCCCATTGGCTCCCTCGTGGTTGAAAGTGAACCAACAACAATATCCAAAGAATCTACTAGCTGTTTGCCTGTGAATGATCAGACTAATCAACCTGATGATCAGAATAGTATTCAACCGAGGAAAGCAGCAAAGAAGGGAGAAAAGAAGCGACTTTTGTCGGTTACGCTTTCGAAAGCAGAGATTGAAGAGGACATAGCAGCGATCGAAGCCTTGGCAGGTGTGAAGCGGTTGAGAAGACCCAAGAAGCGAGAGCAATCCTTGAAGGTTGATCAGAAAAAGATTGATCGTTTGTTTCCAGGGTTAGATTACATAGATGAGTTAGGGTTGTATTAATTGCGATATCATATATATGTATCTAACCTGTTTTGTGATAGATTGATTCTGATTGTTATGCAATTAATTTCTAGACAACTTTAAGGAATTAATATATATTGTTTGTTGTTTTATAACATCAGTTTAATGAACATCTGTTTAGGCTATACAAGCTATTTATAAAACGTATTTTCAATTAACGGTAGATGGTCTCATGGTAGGATCGTAGTTAATCACTACAAATTTAAGCATGCAATATATAAATGAAGTTCATCTGATACTGTCATGAAATCCGCCAAAAACATCAGTTCTATCAAGTTGAAACCATTGACAACGCTAAAACATTTTATCATTGTGTTACTAGTAACCGAATACAAAAGATGGCAAGTTTGTTGTCAATCTTTAGTGAAGTTCTTCATTTAGAAATAAAGAAAAAAATTGAATCAGAAGAAGCAACCAATAATTAAAAATAAGAATATTAGCTGATAAGCCAACATTTAATAAACATAAGCAATGAGATACATTATCTGGAAGGGAGAAACATGTTCTATCACTCTAATTGTGAAGCAGGACAAAGCACAAAACTTCAAATTTGTCTCCTTTTATAGGTGACTGGTCATTTTATATCTTCTAATTGCAAAACATTCATATTCTTCAAGAAACAAAAAACAATTCTGAAGGAGGTTTAGCAGCAATATTGCCAACAGGGAAAGAAAGAAAGAAATGGAAGAAAAGGATCCTTGTTTGCCTCACCCCTCTGACAAGCTCCCCTTTTTTTTCTTGATTAATAAGGAATTTATTGAATGGTAAAAACTCAAAAGTGCAAAAGAAAAAAAAAACACTACCAAATTGGATTTGCATTATTGTTTTTTAACTCTAATGCAAAAGAAATATGACCTTTTATCTATGGTCCATAAACCCACAACAAAGAAGAAATGTTGCATTTTACTTACTATACCATGAATTGATATCAAATTACCAACAACTTTTCTCCTCTATACATTCGTCAAAATCATGCAACTAATACAATAAACGGAAGTGAAACATAAAGCAAAGAAGTTAAATTTAGACAAGAAGGGAAACCTGCTAACTATAAAATAGACCGAATCTGGCTTTGACCGTATGGCAGTTTTAGTAAATCCAAGCATATCCGAAGGCCAAAGCTTATCCCCAAAGAAACTGCTAGTGTAAAGTACCTGATCCCCTGCTTTAAGCCCTGCTTGTGCAGCATTCCCACTCCCATCAACGGCCTATAACCAATTCAAAATCCACAGTGAATAAATATCATGACCCGTATCAATGTTGGAAGGAGCACCGAATCTGAAACTTACAGTAATAACTACACCACCTCCTTTCTTCTGAGCTAATGTCAAGCCTAGGGGCCTGTCAACCTCAACCTCTATAGTTTTTGAAGCACCAGCAGTTCTTGCAGTGATCTCAATTCCTCTTCTTGCATGGCAGGAACTGAAGGTGCCCTTTCTTTCATCTAGGAAGAAACGTGAGACACCCCTTTTGGCCTCTTGAAGAGACAGGCCTTGGAATGTGGTTTCTTTACGTGCATGGACAAAAATGAGAGGTTTCTGTCAATGGGATATGGAAGTAAAAGCATTTTGAAAGGATCTGATGGCACACGCATTTCATTCATACCTGGGAAGTGAAAGGTGTGAATGCCTTGGGAGATGGGGTTGGGATAGCTTTGATGCAGTGGTTCCTGCTGGTGAAGGCGGCAGAGCAAGAAGAGGTACCTGCAACCACAGCTGATGACATGATTTGAACTTGATATAAGAACAAGTGGCAGGGGAACAGAGTCGTTGGAAATTGGAAATGAAATAAAAGGAAATTAAAGAAAGAGTTTGAGTCGAGTGAAGTGGCGTGGCTGCTTTGGTGCTGTGAAAGATGTGTCGATAGGAGTGAATTACCAGATAACCTTTCAGTGGCAGTGGAAGGCAGTTACATGCTGAGAGCCACACGCCACAGCCAGGCCACTGCCTCAATTCCACAAATCACTAGTAGTCTTCTCTCTTCTCATATTTTATTCCAAGATTGAAATTAGATTTAAATTCTCGAGCTTCAAGACAGTCTGAAACTTAAGTAGTTGCAGTATATTATGCCATACTATACATTTATCACTATGTTATAGGTGAGTATCGACTTTGGCATTCAACTTTAATTTCATTGAATTTTACTTTGTATTCTAAATTTTAATGATTGTTGAAGCATATTAAATTTATTAAATGCAAACTTTAGAATGTAATATCTTGAACTCAAGAATAGATTGTGACACAATTGAATTTGGACATGAATCTGTTCAATGAATATATGGTACGGCCTTAATTAGCATGAAATTAAAGATTTTTTTTTGCTTAATTATTTTATAATTCTACTGAGCCGAAATGCTATTAATTAATGTTTCTGGCCTATAATTTTTTTTTTGTTTATAGAAATATAATGAATAAATCATGCAGATGTTTTTAGGGATATAATAAGTACTAACAATAATGATTAGAACCTGCATTTGTAACTCCAAGTACTTGAGGCAGAGTTTAGTGGTTATGATTTTAAGGTTTAAAAAAGATTTATAATTTAGGGTTTGGAGCTTAAGCAGCTTATCGATTCTCTGCTTATTTAATTAGCAAGCTGATGAGTGATTTAGGGAGGTGTCCTAATGAGTAATTTGCTTTCCATATTTAACCAACCAAATTCGTCTGCTACATTCACTTAATGAAATTCATATATATAAAAAAAGATGTAGGATGGCTGCTAGGCTGCTTTGAGTTTCTTCAATTCCTTCTAATTATTCAAACTTGATAAAAAATAAAAATTAAAAATTAAGAAAATACCCACACTTTGTAACGAGAGCAATAAAATTCAAATTCGATTGTAATCGAATTAAACTTAAACTCGAATAACTTAACTTGTCGATCAAACCGAATTCAAACATTTTTATATTTAACTCAAATAACTTACGAGCCTAATGAAACTTTTATATTTATATTTTAATTATTTTAATTGATAAAATATCTCAAATTTGAGTTTAATCTTAAATATAAATAATCAAACTTTTATCAAATATAAAAATCAAATTTATTTTTATATGTTAATCAAAACTAATCAAACAAACTTGAATAACTTAATTTTTATTTCGAATTGAACTCAAGTTGAAAAAATAAAACTTAATCAAATTCGAATCAAATATTAAACCTCGAATTTGAAATCGTACTTGAACTCAAACTTAATACTGTATCCGCTCAAACTCAATCAATTACACCCCTACTTTAAACATTTAACCTTTTTTAAGAAAACTTTCGTTTCAAAAACTTCCGCCTAATATCAAAAGATATGTAAAAAAAAATATAATAATAATAACTAAATTGCATCCCCTAATAAATCAGGCAATCATGACATTATAAAAAGAAATTTATTAGTTACTGACGTCAGACATTCAACTATTCTGCAAGTGTTTGCTGATATCCTAGGTACAATAGGCTTTAGCACAGTGTAAATTGAAGAGGTAAAATTAGTGTAAATTGAAGAAGGTAAAATTAGTGTAAGTTTCTTTGGTACAAAGTTTACTATTCTGCAACTTATCCTGCGATAGGCTTACCTATAGTGTAAGTCTCTTTGGTACGTATATGTTACTTATATACGTACAACAAAATTACCTTTTTATGTCGCAGCATGGACTAAAAGCACGAACCTTTCACATACGAAGAGCCTCACTAAATGATAACTCTTGACGAAATAGAACCACCAGCAATGGAAATGCAAAATGAAGGCTTTTAGCACCTATATTTGATAGATATGTAAAATTTCCGTCTGTGAATTCCAAAAGATGTCGTAATGCGTGCAGCTGCTTCATCACTCCATTTGGTCCCTCCACTTGAAATCAACATATTCACCAAGTTTAAAATACTATTCACTTAATAAACATTCAAAGTACCAAAATGCATTGTCCTCAAAGAGAACAACAAAAGGAGAAAGCAAGTCATTCATACCTAAGATCAAAATCCAACCAAAAAAGTTAAAATTAGACGTTTAAAACTCAAAACTTAAATTCGTATCTTTCCCAGCTTTGCACCAAATAAATAGCAATTAAATAAGAGAAAGGTTCAGTAAAACATGTTATGAGTAAAAGGCTAAAATCTTGACATAACCTACAATGCAATCCATGTTAGCCTCATTTAAAGGAAGAAGTATTAAAAGGCCAATCATGGACTAACTTCTATTGCCATTACCTTTTTCAGTGGATTTAATTCCAAAAAGGATAATTTAGAAATACTTTCATCTCCTAACATCTATAAAATTGTAGCATAAAGCTTAACATGCTGTAAATTCATGATAACTCAGCACAAAGGCCAACTTAAAACACAAAATAAATATAATGCATAAGCATTAGATGACTTAAACTTCAAGCAGAAATTTATTAAAGATTATCTTAACACCTGTTTCAATACTAAAATAAATAATTAATAAATATATGAACAAATAGAAGAGCTCACCTTTCAAAAGGAAAAGCATTGAAGACCCTCAAACCAATACAGAAAAACAAAAGGAAGTATCATTTGGAAGTTAATTTTTAAATCAACAATATCGTAACAAAGGTTAACCATTATGCTTTCGTAGAAGCTACTGCCTTTGAGGTGTGAAAGATGCTTTCAAGAGGATTTCATCACCATAACTTTTCTTTACTTTATTATATTTTAATTCCATACACTAAGATTATGATTAAGAATTCCATCAACAAAAAAAAGATCATGAATGTAGGGTAGCAATGGATTTTTTTTTTTAATTTTCAACTTATTTAATCTGTCGAGTTTAAGGGGAATAATCTATTCGCAAATTAATATTTTCTGTAATTAATGAATATAGAAAGAGTAAGATAAATCAACCTTTGCTTTCTTTGTATAGGGTTTGATAACAATTTTTTAAATCATGAGCTATGTATTTTAAAGAACATATTTGTTCAATCAACAAACATATCACAATCATTTTTCATAATTTAAACAAAAAAATGACAGTAATACCAATGATATCTTGAAGTATATTTTAAAATCAGACAAGCCCCTATCTAGTTCCAATGAGGACTGGTCTAACTATAGCTATATCGACATACCTTGAATTTTTCTCAACAGATGTTAAACAAGATTTTGATATCAGTCAATTCATCAAGTGTTTCCTCTGTAATAAGCCAATTAAGCAAACATACACATCAGTGATCAAACCATTAGTAAATTACAAAGAAAAAGGTATCAAATTTTAATCGTGTCCTCAAAATATGAATTCAACTAAACATAAAACAATTTGCATCCAAACAGCACAACCACCAGACATCATAGTAATCACTTATCACAATTTTATTTTGCTGCTGTGAATTAAACCGAAATAAACAACTGGCCAAAACAAATTTAAGTACCAAATATCTAAAAAAAAAAAAACACATACCCAATTTCAATTTGCAAAAATAAGCCTCTATGTTTCAACCATATATTTAATTTACTATTTGATTCTTAGATGTTTAGATAATATAAATTTTTCTGATAGTGAACCCAAGGTGTAAAAGTACAAGAAGAAATTGACATGGCTTCCAAAGAGATTTTTTAAATAAAGTAAATTCTTAAAAAATTATATAGGTGTCAAAATGGCAATATTTAGTAAGTGAAGTGGCAACCATAAAGGAAAGATGATATTCAAATGGCACATCCTCCTCATGCTTTAGGGATACTGACTATCGATCATATCTTGAATTTACAGAAGTCTTACCTGTCAATCAACCATAATATATGATCATAATATCATCAAAAGACAAAAACTCATTGAATAGGCCAAATTAATTACCATAAAAAGCAGAGTGCCAGCATTAATAATATCTACACAAAATTAAACAAGAAGATTCAAAGAAATGCGCAATCTTATCATTATATCAACTTTTACAGCTTCAAGCACACGCGCCATATTTTTCAATTCCATATCACTTTTCATCTAAATAAAAAAAGATGACCAAAAATCTCATATTACTCCTCTAATAAATGAAAACAACAAAAGCCCTAAATTTGAAATTGTTACCTGAGAGGTGTGATCTTCACGAAGGCAAACATAAGAGACCCACCGTTCATATTGCATATTGATATGATCTTTAAGAATCTTTATTTGTTTAGCCAGAGTTTTGAGCTATTGTTGTTCGGTTTTAAACATCTTAACTAAACCCTCAAATATTTTACACTGCTTTTGATGCTCTGATGAGAATTAAGGCCCATTTTTGCGTCCATTATGCAATCTTTAATAGAAAAACTAAAAAGATAATAATGAGAAGAAGATTTTTTCTCTGTTTCTTTCTTTTCTCAACTATTCTTCCTCTTTGTTTCTCGATTCTTCTTCTCAACTATTCCCTTTTTTTCCTTTCTTTTTTCATTTTTTAGCAAATCACACCATTTCAACAAAACTCATTGTTTCGCTTTCATTCATGAATAAAAAATAAAAGCCAATTGATTATAACACATGGCACAAAATTACAAAGCCTCATGGACAATCTCCCATTGGGGGACTACTTTAGATATTGATATATCAATATTGTTTAGATATTGATATTAAATTAAGTTAATCAAGTTATATTGTCACACATATTCCGTTAATAACCTTTGATTTCAATATTCAAATTGAAGCATGAAAAATAAAGATCTCTCTATCATTATATACAAGTTGTGATCCTTCCGTCCATTGTTCACATGCAAAGTACTGAAAAATTTTAAACTCGACTTTTCCAATAAAACAATTCAATTCAGATTGAGTAGAAGTGAAGATTTTCCCCACTAGTTTAACGTTATAAGATGACATTCAATTCCTTCCAATTACAACCTAGATTCACCAACTCAGAATAACTAATGCTTCTGCTCGAAACGGTCTAGGATAAAACACTAAAAGATGGGAACTCCTTCCAAGAACTCACTTAATGAAGCCATAAATACGTAATGGCCATTTAATTATGGTGGACACATATTAGATACGACCTAAACAATACCTACAACAAAATTTTTTTGTTCAAAGTAATATCTTACAAATGAGAGAATATGACATAGCTTCCAACGCCAACCATATTCACACGCTTTAATAAGGCTTTGCATCAAACTCTAAGACCAATATGTGAAGCTTTTTGAGCTGCCATATTAGCCAAAATGTTAAAGGGTGTACCCTCTATAATTCAGCCCTTTGAATGTCTCACTTAGGTAGGATCAAAATTGGGTAATGACTCATATGGGAAGATTCTGAATGAGAATATGCAGATAAATCTGTAAAAAGCAAAAGTTAAAGAGTACCTTGATTACAACAGAAGTCACTCCCTTATCCATATAGAAATATGTTCCTGACCAACGTGCGTATTGTTTTGAGAATTTCCTCATTATTCCACAAATTTCTCTGATATTTCCACTGAAATAGAAAACCAAAGGACCCAAAAGAAATTCATCAAGAAAAAAACACAAACTTTAACTCGCATAATCTTATAACATTGAAACCCTATGAATTACATCACACAGAAAACCAAAAATACAGTTCCAATTCATTAAAAACAGCATCAAATTCAATCTATAAAAAAAGGAAGAAACTTTAACTCACATAATCACATAACATTCAAACTCAAAGACAAGAAAACAAAAAAGGCAACTCAAATTCATCAAATTCAAGCTAATAATGATACAAAACTTAGGCCTTCACCAAAAACAAGCAAAAGTCATTACCTTTAACTCTGATTACAAAACGGTGATGGCAAGTCTTAGGTGGACAAAGAAGAGATAAAATGCCTCCAAAGTAACAGGAAGTTGCTTGAAGAGTCATGGCTTTACTTGGCTAATTACAACACAAAGTCACAAACTAAAAACTAACTCTCTTTTTACTTTTGAGTATGTGAGCTGTTTATCTATTCTTTGTTGTTGTTCAATAGTTTTCAGATTTTTTTTCTCTGTTGGTGCCTATTTCGCTTGAGACATAGCAATAGAATTATTTGATTTTGATGTTTAGTTTTATACTTACCAGCTAGCAAGGCACTATGAGGATGGTTTGGTTCCATTGCGTAAGGCATACAATAATCTAAATTTACCAAAGCAAATGATACTTATTAAGTGGTAATAATCAAAGCAGTAGTCAAAGAAAATATAATATCAAACAGCACAGAAACTAATCAGAACATGAACAAATACACCTTACTGAAATTTAAACAAAATTAAATCATTTTAGACAAATTAATCAAAAAGAAAAAATAAAATGATTAATCAGAAGAAAGCACCTATGCCAATATCATAACCGTATTTTCAAATAGCCATTTACTTTCTCGATGATCTTGCCCGTTATCCAGCTACTTCCCAAGATTAAAAGAAGGAAGCAAAAGTCCTTTTCTCTTTAGTCTGCAACTTGCTAATTCATTTCTTTCTTACTAAAGAAAATTGAAGTTGGAATTACCTAAAGAATGCTGGGAATTAATTTGCAATTTCTTACAACACAACAGCTATTTCGAACTTCTCTCTTTAGTCTGCAATAGATTTCTTTCCATCACCAATCTTTTTCGTGACACTCACAATCATTGACCCAACCTTGGAATCTCTCCCTTGTCTTCTCCTCCACTTCTCAAACCTCAACACAATCATTTTTTGTGACTTCCAAGGCAATCTCGATTTTATTCTTTCCCAGATTACACAATCTGGGTTGGCCTTCAAATCCCTTGACATTATTCCTCCTTCTCAACTTCAAGTCCAGACTCCTAAGAAATCATAAAAATAAGAAAAAAACCCATTTCATCATTTACATAAATTTGAAAGAATAAGCTTTTAAAATATAAAAAACAAAGTGGAAAAAGAGAGACAAATGATACCTGAGCAAAAAAAAGAGAGAGCAAAGAAGAAAAAGTAAGCAACGAAGAGAAAATGAATAGATGTGGAATCCATTACGAAAAAAGTGGGCAGAGAAAATTTGAGGGACTGTAAGATTTTTATCGAAAGAAAATTTTTAAAATAAAAAAGAGAAATGGAAAAGAAAGAGACCTGAAATTTTGAATCAAATGAGAGAGATCTGAAATATAGAATTAAGAACTAAAGGAAGCTTGGGTGGAATCGTCGGGTTCATTTGTGAATCAATGAGATCTAAAAGAGAAAGAGAAAGGTAGATCTTGCGAAGAACTAAGATTAAGCCTTCGAAAGACTCGGATTTGATTCAGACTAGGAATTGTTGCCCTTTTCTTACCCTGACCATGGACAAAGAAAGTTATCAGACACATGGCATGCATAAACAAGTAGTATAAAATTCATTGACAAATGGACTTTCAATGGTATTACTGACGTGATTACAATGCCTCTTATGTATTAAATAATGAAAATATCCCTCGCTGATAAATTTCTATAATATCATTATATCATAATTATGAAAATATTTTTATTTTATAATTAATTAAAATTATTATAATATTTTTTTATTATAATTATAAAAATATTCTGATTGATTAAAAATTTTATAATATCCTTCAATCATAATTATAAAATATTTTCATATCAAAATTGTTTAAAATTAACTATAACGCTTCTTATCGTAATTATAAAAATATTTTTATGATTATTTCATAATAAATTGACGTATATTATTTTATTTGAAAATTTTTATAATATTATATTTAATTTATGTATTAAATTTTAATATAATATAAAATTAATCATTTATTAAATTATTAAAAAACCTTTACTATTGTTTCGTGGAAATTTAACATATAGAGTTTTATTTGAAATTAATATAATACTCTTATTAAATTACATATATTAAATTTTAATAAAATATAAAATTAATTATATATTAAATTATTAATCTCATTGAGATTATCAAAATCCTTTTATGATTCTTTGATTAGAAGTTGACACATATCCTAAATAATTATAATATTTTTATCATAATTATAAAAATATTTTTTTTATCATAAATGAGTTGAAATTATGATAATATCTTTCCTAACATAATTTGGCAAAATTACTAACGCCCTTACTACCATAATTAGGAAAATGCTTATTTTACCTTAATTTTTCAAAATTATTATAATACTTATCCTATCATAATTACGCAAATACCTCTACTACTATAATGGTCAAATTTACTATAATATATTCTCACTATAATTATGAAATTACCCGTTTAATTACTTTATAATTACATATTAAAATTTAACATCTATATAATAATATGAAAGTAATTTCTTAAAAATAACTATAATGCCCTTCTAATTACTTAACAATTCAACGACACATGTCTAAAGTGACTATAATGCCTCCATCCTATAATCAACTAAAATTATTATAATGTTCATCTTATTATAAGTACTGAAATACCTTCATATTATAATTGATCAAAGTTACTATAATACTTTTATCACCATAATTATGAAAATACCTTCTTATTATCATTATTTAAATTACTATAATACCTTTCTACCATAGTAAAATTATTCGTTTTTATTTTCTTTAAAAAATTAAATTAAAGGGTTGATGATATTGGCGGCATTTGATTTCATTGGTAAATGAATTTGAATTTAATAATTGATCAATATTGATAATAAGTAAATAATGTATTAATAGATTGGATTGTTATGTATGTAATATTGATTTAAATTTAATCTATACAATTTTTTAAAAAGTAGTCAAAATAGAAATAAACTCCTATATAATTGCATTTGCATAACACAATTAGAGTATCAGTTTTTTTATTTTTTTAAGAGATTATATTTTCCAAAAATAAAAAATAAAAAGCCAACAAAATACTAAAAAATATTTACTTTTTAAATTTATTATTAAATTAAAAAATTAAAAAATTTGCTACATAGGCATAGCCGAGGTTATTTTCTAATATATTTAATATGTTAAGATTTATATATATGGAATATAATATATATGTATATATGTATTACTAATACAAAAATACTTACATATTAAAAAGTATAAAAAAATTGATAACATTTAATATACATTTAACATATATATTTAAATTTTAATATCCACATTACTAATATAACAATCATAAATGTATACATAACTATATTAATTTTTAATACCAAATCCAAAATAATGAACTACTAAAGATTAAAGAATAAAATAATGATGTATCATACTAATATTATTATTTATATTTTATTTATATTAATAATATAAAAAATAAATTTCTAATAATTATTAAATGAGTATCATAATTAAACGTTTAAAATAATCTTCATATGGCATATTGAATAGCTAATTAGGTATCATAATTAAAAGATTAAAAATTAAATAATTTTTATATATTTATACTAAATTAAAATAACTATAAAAATGTGGTAAATGCGTTTTTGTGTTATGTCACATGTTAAACGTGTATCCATATGACACATTTTATTTAAATGTATTTTTCTATGTTTTATATGTGTTTAGACATGTTAATATGTATAAGACACAAATTGTGTCGTGTCGAAATTTGTATTAACATGAATAAACATTAAACACATTTTTTTTAAACACATTTATGACTTTTTTTCGTATTATTTTTGTATCATATCATCACATTGTGTCTAAAATTACTAAGTTTAGTGTTAAGGCAAGAACATTACCGGCTGACCATTAAAGAGTATACAACTTACCAAGTTCGAATATATGATAAATGTTAAAAGTTTGCGCATGTCCAACACTTGCCCTCAACTAAGTGAACTCCAATAATAAGCTCATAGCCCTTCATGGAATGGGGGATGGATTTGCTCGAACCATCCATCGCACTCCCTAGACAAAAAAAGTTTGTGCTTGCAGCTATTGATTATCTCGATCTATAGTAATAGACAAGAAAAAGCAATTTGATAATCCAAAGTTGAAATAATGGTGTTTCAACCTCAGTATTAAGCTGAGATTCAACTTGGTTGCTCACCCACAATTTAATGGCCAAGCCTAGGTAGCTAACAAAACTATACTTAAAGCTCTGAAGAAGAGATTAGACGATGCTAAGGGAAAATAGGCTAAAGAACTTCCTAGAGTATTATAGGCATTTAGAATAAAGATCGTGATACTAATTGAGATAGGCTTTCTGAGCTTTTATGTTGAACTAAGCAATGACAAAGGAAACGAATAAGCTTTAAAAGTCAACCTAGACCTAACCTAGGAGCAAAATGATGTAGCTTTAACTAGAATAGCTACGCATCAACAGAAAGTCTCGAGCTACTATAATAAGAGGTTTTAATTGAAAAAAGCTACACAAAGGCAACCTAGTACTTAGAAAAGTTGAAGGTTCAAGTATTGATAATCGAAAAAAAAATTGACACCAAATTGGGAATGATCATACATTGTTAAAGAAGTTGTCTGACTTAGATTTGAATAAAAATCCCATCTCGAGGAAGCGAAATGTGGATATTTTAAGATCTACTATCAATAAAGGCTATATGATTGAGCTAATTTATGAGTATCCGATCTACAAGAGTGTAAACTCAAAATCCAAGGTAAATATAGTTCAAAGTTGAATAAATTCTTCTATGAATGTCTGATGAAAATCCTTACAAAACTCTTTATCCAACTTAAGGATGAAACTGACCTAATTTTTAATCAAAATTTCAAAAAAGATCATACAAAGCCATAATTGTATCGTTCTTGCATACTAAGCTAAATGGTTATATTAAATTAAGTAACATTGAGCTAAAAAATGTAAATAAAGAATAAAAACTAAATTTCATTAATAATAATAAATAATTACATGATTTAAAAAAACAAAATATAAACATAAGTAAATTTTAAAAATTTGCCTAAGGGATAGGTCAGGCCCTATCTTCAGGTTAGGCTTCAACAATAGTTACCTTAGGCTCCCTAATCTAAGTCTTAGGATTTTTAATAGCTTGCCCCTTCTTCTGGTCAGCTCCAACCATAATAACAACTTGATCAATCTCTATATCATCCTTATCCTATTGCTATTACTCATCAGCTTGTTTCTTTCCCTTAGTAGTAGCTTGTTAGGTCTTCAAGTAATTGATGTTGATCATGGAAAGATCGAGGTCACCATATATGAAGTTTACCTTTTTCAACTTTAAGTCAAAAAAGTCGACCATCTATTCCCAAGCAAAGTTTATTTATATATTGTAGAAGTTGTGGATGGAAAGAAGTTTTCCACAGTTCATTGCTCAACTTCTTTAGAAGCTTAAAGTTCATTTTTCAGACATTATACTTTAGCTAGAGCAACAGTCAATTTGAGATTGAGACGTTAACGAAGAAACTCAATTATGGCTTTTTAGATTGACAAGTCTTTGATCTGCTTGGATAAGCTCTCAAACTTCTTGTCAAGCTCATCGTTGGTTTTTTTTTTTATACTCGATGTTGGAGATCTTGATCTTTTTTGTGCTCTCCATAAGGTTGTTAATATCTTTTGTATATATTTTCAAATCCTTTTCGACCTTGTAGAGGTAAACGAAAGCCTTATGAGTATACACTAAGGTCTAACCTATATTCTAAGAGGCAAACTAAAGAAGCCAATCATAATTTGTAGGACAAAAAAAGTCAAACTTAGACTTTGTAAAATTTTTGAAGTTTAAAAAACCAATTTGCAACTTACCTTTCTTATGAAAGCATTTTCCTTGCGTCGAATTCTAAAGTTACAGAGTATTTGACCAAAGAAGGTTGGACCTTGAATGTAGCATCAGAAGATGAAAATTGAATCATTGGCCTCTTTTAAGGCTGTTATATGACCACCTTTTATTTTAGTTTCTACATTACTGCAGGACTTTTACCTTCAATCTAAAAATGCTAAAGATGTGGGTTGATGATTTTAATGCTGCAATATAAACCATTAATCTGAGAAAGAGCCTTCCCTCATCTATTTTTCATTGGGAGGCTATGTAAACATGGTTATGTCAAAACTCGATTTATTCTAAACAGCTATATCTTTAATTGAAAAAATTGACTTAACAGTTAGAAGATATTCAAACTAAAAAATAGTTACGGTAAGAATATTACGCTAATATCTGACTTTTTTAATGGCACTAGGAAAGGTAAGTTCATTTACATTTATCACTAGTTTTCTACCCTCAAGAAACCATTTATTGTATCTCAAGCTTCAAGCTCATCATTGATCAAAAGACCTATATTAGCATCCTCAAATAAGCTCGTAAATTATTTATTTCCTAAACCCCATCGATCTTCTAAACATAAGCTCGATTTTCAGGTTTTTATTAAGCTTGGCCAATTGGCAAAAATTCTTCTAGAGATACCAGCTATCACATAGCACCAACTCTTATCATAGGAATACTTTTTAATGGTAAAAATTCTTTAAAGAGTCC